ACAAAACCTGAAGAAAAACGTTTCTTTTTTTTTCATTCGTTTAAACAATGAATCACTGTAAGACCAACTCGGAGACATTCGAATCAAATAAGTCAACACTAGTCTGCGAAAAAAGTCAACGCTTGCCATGAACTAATATTATTCTAAGCAGTCCTAGTCATCCTCTCCTATTGATCTAATTAGCCGTTCTTCATTGTAACTTGATACCTGCGAACTTCTGCTACATCGACTCGATCGAACGTAAATTGATCAAGTAGGAGGTCAGATAAAAGACTTCATACATGAATAATCAATTTGTTAAGTATTCTGTTTGCTTTACACGATATATGTTTTACAAATGATTTTAGATCAAACTCGATGTCTTACATAATCTATTTTTTCATTTTAATTATCTCCTTAATTCACGCTCAACCACCATCATTAACATCGAAATCACTTTGTGCTCAATATTATCCGAACAATGACCAATCTGTTCAATGCGAATGTGATGACATCGACATCAATCGCTTGTCATTGAAGTGTCTCGGCCATTCCTATGTTCCTCATTTTCTCCCGCATATTCATTACGATCGCATTGATTTAGAATCTTGTGCGCAAGATCTACAAATTGGAGATAAAACATTCGCAGATTTGAATATCAATACCTTAGCTTTACGTCATTGTAATCTGCTCGGTCTGAGCGAAGAATCATTTGCTAAAATCAATCATTTAGAGAAGTTTTCCATCGAGAACTCGACCATCGTCTCTCTCTCAACATCGACTGGTAATTTTCAAGAGATTTTCCAATCCGATTCGTTTCGTACATTGAAATCTTTAATCTTGAAGAACGTTCATTATCATCAAACACATAAACACGATAAGAAACTCAATCTTGAAAAACTATTAACACAATTACCGCAATTGAATCGTCTCGAATTGACAAATATTTATCTTGATAATTACCGCTATGAAAATCTAACAGACATCGGCCGAAACTTAACTTATTTAAAACTTATCAATACGCATCAAACAAGTTTAGTACCCATCGAACATTTACCATCCCTCGAACGGCTAATTCTCATTCATTTACCTCAAATATTTCACACTCAACCGTTGATCGCGTCGATCAAATTCCTCAAAAAACTCAAATACATATTCTTCGCACAAAACCAATTGAAAAATATTGATGATCTTCAATCGAAGACCATCGATCAAATCGATCTCTCATCAAATCTCATCGAATCTATCGATGAATACACCTTCGAACATGTTCCCAAACTTCGAACATTAACACTGACGAAAAATCCTCTTCGTTCAATTGATAAAAACGCATTTTGTGGCATTGACAATCTGACACTCTTATACATCAACAATGAACATTCAAGTCAGATCTCACCGTTAGATAATTGTATTTTATTATCCCATGCACAATTGGATATCAAACAGGACAGTCAAACGAAATTACAATGTAATTGTCCATTGATGCATGTGTTTCGCTTGAAACGCAAACATTCACGAGATATCAATAACTTATTCAACCCCAATCATGCTTGTGTGGTTACAAATACGACGTTAGAACAAGCAAAAAATCCTCATCAGCTGCAGAATCTTTTGAACTTACCGATTTACATATATGAGCTGGAAAATTTCTTGAACTGTTCGTATACAGATGATTCTTGCGATCGTCACTGTCAAGACAGACGAGTGAAATCAACAACAATATCACCGATAAAAGTACATAAAACAAGTATTGATGTTCAGAGCAAAAATACATCTGTATCCCCGTCTTTATATTCATTTTTTTCATATACATTGTGTCTGTTGTTATTTGCTATTCGGTATTTGTAAAATTATTTTATTGTCATGCAAGAAAGATTTTATTCAGAATAGAAAAAATACGATTTCTTTTCAAACATCAGTCAAGCACAAATTATTCGCTATGCGGAACAATGTGTTCACTAGACATGAAGAGATTTCTTGACAAAAACAGTCTATTCACTTCAATGTGTCATCAGATAAGAGTCAATACTTGATTTAAATTATACAGCGGATTTCAATTTAGTCTGAAAGTTTATCGAATTGACTTTTCCTCCGGAAAAAATACCGATTACATCATTGTGGCCTATTTGCGCACTCAACAGAATCGATTGTTACTTTAATTCGCAATGGACTAAATGGCATCTTTGTCCGGAATGAATTAGCGTATGCCGGTCAACCATCGGGAATAGATTCATTCGAAAAAAAAAGAACGACAATGGGTTTTTATTGTCTCTCGATCGTCTTTTTAAAATTTCAACATATAAAAACCAATGCTTTATTTTCTCTTCATTCCGTAAGAGAAATTCAAAGCTGACAATACAGCAAAGAGCAAATAACAACAAGAATAGCTTGTAAGCAGTAAAATATGAGATTGACATTCAAAGCCATGATGCATTTGTTCATTCGAAATGAGAAAAGCAAACAAGAAACGATTATACAAGAAGAATCAAGTCATTCAGTTCATTATCATATTGTTAATGTCATTGTTGGCTGTTGTAACGTTGGCGCTTTGCCAACTGATTTCTGGTTAGGCGCGACTTTACCTTCGTAATGCATTAATATATCTTGATCAAACGGACATGATTCTTGAAAAGCTTTCGTTTGATAACAACGCTCCATATATGTCCACAGCGCATTTAATTCACGAGGTATGTCTAGATTTTTATAATAATTTCCAGCAATACGTATGTGTTGTAATTTGGGCATAACGTCACAATCGACAAATGTCATTTCATTTCCCGACAAAAATTTTGTTCCTGTTTCTTCGAGATAATCATTGATACGCTTGAACTCGGTTAACAAACTGCGCAATTTGAATTGCTCTTGAGGATCACCTGGCTGTGATTTTAAGTAAGGATGGAATTTAATATAAACATTCGAACAAACATCTTCGGCTTCTTTGAGAGAATTCATGTTCATAACAGGAAAACGTTTACTAATTTCAGCTTCGATATCACGATTATCAGTGAGTACAACTTGAGATGATTTATCGCTTGTTTCATGAAATACAACAACAGGTGGATTCGAATTATACGCTTTTTTGAATTCTTGCTCAGGATTCTTCATATTGACTGGATAAACCTTTACTTACAGAAAGCAGATCGAATGATACACATTTTTCAGAATTGATATTTACGGTTAATGCAAGTTCTTTTGCTTCGGACTTCAAATATAGAACCATAAACCATCGTTGACAGATCGGACTTGGTGAACGATGAGAAAAATCAATTTCCGATCGCTAAACAAACCCATTTCAAATAGATTTAAAAGAACCAACAACAATAAATCACTCGACTTACAGTGACAAATAGTGCCACCGATGGCACATGCGGATTGATTGAATCCATAGCCGATTCTAGAAGTGATCTACAAAAAAAAATTCAACCGTTATTTTTTCCTTTGATCAGACGAAAGAAGAGACATTCACTGAAGATAAATCCGTGAATAAAGAGCAAAAGGTAGACAGTAAATATCGACTAACGGAGAAGGATTATTCTCTTTCTTTCTATTGCTTAACATCAACTTACCTGTCGAATGCCACTACTCGATCAAATCAAAACATAGATCAATATTAAAAAATGCGAGTATATAGTCGTCCGCATTTTTTTTAAAGACTGACTAGGTATGTTCTCCTCTTCTCTCTCTCTCTCCCTCTCTCGTCTCGATTCATTCTTCGACAGACGTTGAAAAAGAAAAAAGCACGTCTCAAACTAATTGACAAACATAACGTTAAAATCGATGTTCGCCTGTTGTGTAATAACCTGTTAATGATGAAGACAAAAATATCGCTTTTTTTTCTTCGAGCATTCATACAGATTCTTTTCGAAGCATCGTTGCACGAACGCACATGTAAATTGTTAAATCTCCTATGAATGGTATGTAAACATATCTGAAGATGATGTTTAGTTTTGATCAAATATAAAGAATATCAAAAAAAAGTAAATATGGAACTTCTTAATCGCGAATAAACGAATCATAGCAGACAAAGAAGTGGATTGTTTGCAGACAAGTGAAGTGCACTTTATTACTCGAATGATTCATTTTATGAGCACCTTTCTCTTTCCTTCAGTGTTCGTCTTTTTTTTTCGAAGAAAAAGCGTGAGTAGATCCAATAAGAATTGCTAAATCGAAATAGAAGGCGCTAGTGGTTGATTTTTCAATCGAAACGATTTGTTAACATGCTTATCAAAACAATCGTTAAGAGTTCTGTTATTCATCGTAGACAAAGAAATGAAACATGAGTTCAAAAAACAATCTCTACGGACAAAACTCATGCAAATGGCAATCTTTTAGGATTTGAAGAGAAAATATGTTCTCATCTGACATTGTTTTCTCCTGGCGTCAATATTTAAAAATGAATAATATTTATACTCCGTGTGATATCTCAAGAATTCGCTCTCGAGAGACTGATGGTGTATATAACAAACCTGCATAACATTTATTCTCTCTTGTCTGACTAAGACCATTAAGTTAAAGTGAACTTGTTGTGTAAAAAATGATTGTTTAACTTCGGGTAATCAAAGTGTCTGTTATCGAATGTTTCTTTGCCATCGGCAGTGACAAAATCAATTGATCAAGATTGCCTTTTGTTCGTTGAGTTTTCAACGCTCGAAGGAAGAAGAAAAAGTTCATTTCGGTTTATAGTTCTCTTGTATTTCGTTATGTTTATCTCCTTACTGGAGTACAATCGTTAACATGTTCAACACAACAAATCCTGGTTGAAATCCACAGAAAGAAGTAATAGAAAAATAATGATGAAAAAGAAAAACCAAACAAAAAAGNAGGCCGACATAGACAGACAAGCAAAACAGAGAAAGAGTGCGACTAGAAAAAAAGAAAGAAGAAAAACAAAGCACGAGGATCTAAATAGTTTCTTTTAGTTGCGCGAAATAATAACAGAAGAATCCCAAGATCAATGAATACACACCGGTGAAAGAGAAGCAAACAAAAACAGACATTGACAAAGTTGCTTTGTTGCTAATTTAATGCCATGAAGTATTATGACCATAATAGACGGGATGATGACTACTATCGGGTGCGGTTGTTAACAGTGGTGATGCAGGTAAAAGATGATGATAGCGTGATGTTGCTGGTGTAGATGATTGTTCATCAACTGGAAACAATTTACTAAATGGTTCTAATGAGCCAAATAGGGAGGATAACAAGTTTTCCTGAAATAAAGCAGCAGCTGCTGCTGCTGCAGCGACAGTCGATGAGCAGGTTGGCTGAATATTTGTTGAAGTTGAAGACAACGTATTGGTAATATCATTAATAATTGAATTGTCTGCTGATTTTGTATTTGTTGGTACATTCAATGATAATGGTTCGAGTAAAGCGACAATATCAGATGGTTGGTAGACTTTTGTGGTTGACACTGGTGATGATGATGACGATGGTGGTGGCGGTGGAAGATCAGATGATGTTGAAAAAAGTGCATTTGAATTTGATCCGTTACTTTCGAGAAATGGTGATAGGTTGAGTCGATGTGCCGAAGAAGAGTTTGTTAAGCTAAAATATGAATTCCAAAAGAAAAGAATCGAAATTTATAGTGATTACCTGTCGAATATCGGCTGATTTTCATTGATTAATGTTTCTACATTGCTTCGATTTGCATACGGACCAAATGGCATTGATGAGTGATGATGCGACAAAACTGACTGTTGCTGTTGTTGTTGTTGTTGATGTTGAATCATCGACATCATTGCAAGATTTTGACTGAATGTATGATGTGGCGATTGTGATTTAAGTGGAGAAAGTATTTTTGGTGAGTTATTTCCATAAAATTGTCCATTGGAAGCCGATTGGTGAGATAATAATGTAGATGGACGAGAACGAGGTGAAGGTGGCGTTGAAACTTCAGCTAAAACAAAGACATAGACGATTAAAAAATTATTAATTCATATTCAAGTTTGACGTACAACCAAAAGATCCGAGTCGTGATGCCGTTACTGTTGGTGATGGTGGCAACTGTTGCTGCTGTTGTTGTCTTCGACCTGATGCACGTGACCATTCAACAATAAGACGTCGATCTTTCCATGTGTAACCGTGAAGTACACGCATAGCCTGTTCAGCTTCAGTAAATGTTTTAAATGTAACAAATGCATAGTAATCCCATAGAATGACACAATCGACAACATGACCAAATGGTGAAAATAAGTGCTGTAAATCATGCGCTTTACAATTCTCTGGCAGATTCGTACAATACAGCTTAGGTATTTCACCATTTGTACCAATATCTTGAAAGAGAAAACCGATTAATTTGAATCTTACACGAGGTTGAATTTTACCTGTTTTAATATTCTTATTCGATTTCATCTGATTCATTTTATTCAATTGGAGAGACAATGGTGATGGTGTCATTCTATCCATCGGTAAATTGGGATATTGTGAATAATAGCCATTATTCAGCTCTTGTGATAAATAAAATGGTGATGGAGGACGATATGTATTCGGAAAATAATTTGGTCTCTCTGGTAGAGGTGATGAACTTTGTTGAGCATCATAACCTGTGAGCATGTCATAATTAACTTCTGAAAAGAAATCAAGTACATTCATAAACAATTGAAGTCGAGATAAATCGTTTACCATTCGAATACTGTTGCGTGAGTGTGTTTGACTGCTGCTGTTGTTTTGTAGTTGATCCTCCTCCATTGGTTAAATGATGATAAGCAACTGATGATGAAGAAGATGATGGTGATGGTGGAGTAGGCATCACAAGTAACTGCTTAGGCGGTTGTGACAATGAATTGCTTGCTTCTTTTGGTTGAGGTCGAAATCGTGAAGTTGATAATTGAACAATCAGTTTTCGATTAAGAAACATCGCACCATTCGATTGATCAAGTGCACGACGTGCTACGAAAATATCTCAATAAACGACACAAATAGGTTCAAAACGTTTGACTTTACCTTCTTCCATAGTTGCATAGTGAACAAATGCATAGGAATTCCACATAACTAAAAGATGTCAAGATTGGATAGATCGTTTCTCAACTAGGAATGTTCATGCGGCTTACTCGCACATTCTTGTACACGGCCAAAACGTGAAAAGAATTGTTGTAATTGTTGTCGAGTTGCGGAACTCGGAAAATTCGTCACATAAAGTTTCGTTTCAATTGCAGCAGCCATCTAAAACGAGCATAAATTCAAACGATATCCCATACAACACATCTCGAAACGTAATTCTCAAAGGTAAGACACTGTTATTCAGGGTTTTTCAAGAAAAGTCTTTAATCCGTGAGATGAAGATGACGATGACGATGAAGTCAGCAAATCTCCTGTTTTTATGACGATGATGGTGCAGATTTCGTACAAACGAAAAGATTTGTTCTGTAGTATATTAGTTGTTTTTTTCTTCGACTCTTCATTCGTTCTCTTGAATCAACGAACGGGAATCCAGAGTTTATCTATGCAGCTGTCGAATTGTTTATTTATTGCCGATTTCGATCGTTTCGCTGAATGAATTGTCTAAAATTTAGGAAAACTATTCTCCTGAATCAATTCATGTCGAAAATATTTCTCGAACAAAAACAATGAAATTCAAACGAACACTCTCAAAAATACGTGCTCGTTTATCTGCATAGTCTAAGTGCATAGATGACTCGCTTAATGGAGGGATCACCATGAAAACAGACGGTGAAAATGGTCACTCGTAATTTTCGATCGATTAGCCGATAATTTGTCAGAACGTTAACAGTTAAAGAATCAATGCCAGAAGGCAAGAAGAAGAAACCAACAAGACAAAACACCGAAGTCATCGAACAGAATACGAAATCATTGCGAGGATTATTAAAATGTTATAAAGAAAAAAGTGTAGAAGCCAACAGTGTTCCCTGTACGGAAGTGACGAAAGTCATTCGATCATTAATTGAAGATGGTGAAGGTGGACTTCTCAGAGAGGTAAATATCCTGTTGTTTGTTTCAAATTTTGAAAACGCTTTTCTTGCTAGGTATTTCTTCGGCCAATACCTTTGAAAAAGCCAGTTGAACCGTCCGATGAATCCACCGCGAATGCCGAACCGATTCCTATCGTTCGTATTTCTTACGAACCCATCAAAATTCTCATGTTCTTTTTTCAATTGTTTAGCCACAAACACATGTTAGACCGTTAGTTCGCGCATTGATCGCAACAAGAAATGAAACGATCAAAGTTTTTTGTGTGTGGAATCTTTGCATGGATCTAATGGATTGTATTGATCTCGTAAGGAAAACCATTTTTGAATACAAACAAAAAAATTCCATTATTTCCTGCTAGAATGCCTATTTAAGACTTCCAACAACTTATGTTCAGACTCTTATACTTAACGATTGCCTTCTTCAACCATATTCTCTATCAAGACTAACGTTGTATGTATCACAAGATGTATGACTGAATTGAGTTACTTGTTTCTATAGAGATTACTTTATATATGGTACTCTTCGGATAGTAAATCTGGATTTTAATGAGTAAGTGTTTGTTTACTTTGTGTAAAGAAGATGGTTGAGTAAATGAAAAACTTTGAATTAGATTTGGTGATGAAGGATGTTCGATCTTATGTTCTAATTTGTTGAAAAATCATGGAATATTTCGACTCTCGTTGACATATTGTGATATCGGACCTGATTCTGGAAAAGCATTAGGTGAACTTTTAGTTCAGAGCGCCGTACGGTAGATTTCCTCCACGCTCTCTTCTGAATGAAATTATTCGATCTTTTCTATTAGCGAACTTTATCTCGATGGTAATCGACTTGGCTGTATAGGAGCAAATGATCTCATCAAATCATTGGTAGTCGAATGTGAAAAAGTACTCAGCGATAAACGTGATCGAATCCGTGCTGAAAATGAACTAAAAGCACAAGAAGGTTCATTGTTCTTAGATATAAAACTGATTTGATCATTGACTTTCTTTTTGGTACACCCAGCTTTACTTCGAGAACAACAAGGTCTACCACCGGAACCAGTTGTCGGAGAGAAGAAGAAGAAAAGTATGAGAAACGTGATACTTCCCAATAGGAAAAGATCGATTTTCTCTTTCAATAGAAAAGAAAAAGAAAAAGAAGCAATTAGATGAAGAATTTCCACCATATGGACCTATCGTCTCAAAACTTCATTTGTTTGACAATGAGATTGACTGTTTACAACCAAATGGTTTGACCATTGTTCAGGAGACAATCAATACTTATGCTCGGTCTGTTTATTTCTAACAAAGAAAAACATAATCGATTTTCGCTATTTAAAGATTGATTGAAATCTCCGAAGACTTAGAAGAACTCGATCTCGATGAAAACGTCATCGGACATGTTTGCGGAGGAATTCTTCTAGATGCACTAAAAGCCCGAAAAGAAAGTAAATCTAATCGAAAGAATCATTTTGTTTTGATAAACGCTCTTCTTTTCACAGATAAACTCAAGAAAATTCGCATCAACGTCAGCGAAAAGATCGATCAATACGTTTTTGCAGATATTCTCAAACTCAGTGCTAAGCTAAAGAAAAAACGCAAGCGAGCGAAAAAGAAGGTAAGACATACGATCAATCTGTACTGAAATATCGATATGTTTCGTTTGTTTTCAGAAATAATCGATTGTGTACATACAGAGATATATTTTTATGAATTAAGAAGCACACACATGTGAAAAATAAATGAGTTTTATACAACAGATCCAACAGGTTGATGTAAATATTGTTGCGACGATGAGTCATTATAGATTTTTTCAAAACGTTCCAAATATTTGTTGATATCTGTCATCGACAAACGTTGTTGATAGTCCTCTCCAGCAGAAAGGATCTCACATGAATATGGAAGATTAACTCTCTCTAAGGAAAGATGAGGAAACATTCGTCGAGGTTGAAGTGTATCACTTTTCGCACGAGTTGGATGAACTCGTTGTTCACGAGGTAAAGATGTTGTTAACTAAACGAAAAATGAGTGTGAAGAAAGAAATACTAGACAGTGAACTTACATATTCGTTGTCGATCAAGGAAGTATTCGGTGCTGTTGGTGAAATGTTTTTCCAAGTCGTTTTATCTTGGGTTTTCAAAGATTTCTGACGTTTTTTACAACAACAATTCATGAATATTAACAGAAGACCGAGTAAAACGATAATAAACAGAGTAAAGATGAGTATGAATAGAAACGAGACCGAAAGATTTTCTCTTGATTGAATGTCGAAAACTAATGATTGCTTTGTGATTAATCGATTTGGTTGACCGAAGTCGGTCATAATCAATGTAAAATTAATCTTTGTCTTATTGAAATTCTTTAGAAATATCCGACCGGTAAAACGTTCGATTTCGATGTTCGTCGATGGGTCAACTTCATATTCTATCGAAGGCACTAAAACATTCATTTCTTCGTTAAATATTATATCCGGATCGTAAGCTTTGACTTGATATAAAAATCTTGACGAGAAAATCTCGATCGAGAGTCTTGTCGAGTTGATTAAAAGGTAAGGTGGGTATTTGTTTATTCCGAAAAAGATTCGAATAGGAATTGAACTGCTCAGCGAAGGCGTTTGAAAATCGATTGCTTGGATTTGAAAATCATAATAATACGAAGAATATAATGCTAATGAACGGACGGTGAATGAAGCATTGAATGGATCGACTGAGATGAGGTCTGGTACGGAAGAAACGTATCTGACATGAGATGGCAGTGCTCGAAGAGAGAATTCCGACATGTTTTTACTAGTTAAGACGTAGAATGGATGAGAGAAATATGGTAAGACATGTGCAGATGAATAAGAATCGAGAATATAAAGATTCAACTGAATCGAACATGGTTTTATCTATACAAAACAAAAAAGTTATTCAGAATGAAGAACAGATTCGTGAGAACTTACGTCATTCGTCGAATTGTTCAGGTTCTGCTGGAGTATTAATTGATAGAACTTTCGTTGTTTGACATTTAAATATTTCATTAAGACTAAATTGAGATTGTCGTCTAGTTGAAATGTTTGTGTTGGGTCGAACAAGACCAGTTCAGTTGATTGATTGTTCAAACAATGATGATAACGGTTGTAAAGAGGAATTCGTTCGTAAAGAGGAATGTTCTGGTCGATTTTCAAGAAAAACATGTTCGAATGGGTTAATAGATGAACTTTATTGAAAAAGATAACTATTGAGTAATTTTTCATCGAGATTATCGACGGATTGAATGAACTGCTGATTTGAATTTGAAAATTCAAGGACAAGTTTTCTTTTCTATTCGAATAATTCGTTAAAATTCTCATTAGATACATCGAATCTAGATTCAGATATAAATCATAGGTCGACGAATTCAACTTGAATATATCTTCGTACGTTGAGCTCAGACTGATGAAACAATTCGAACATAATTTCATTTGTTGTTTGTCATAGATTCGAAATTGGCCAAGTGACTGATGAAGATTTTTCACATTGAAATGAATCGTTGTTTGATTGATGATGGAAATATTCGAATGAAAGTCAATGTGATAAATCGATGTGAATTGGATTTCGACAAAACATCGGGTCGATAATGATAAAGGTTTTCCATGATCGGTAACATTCACGATTAATATCGATTCGTTCGAACGCATCCATCTCTTCGAGTCGAATTTAATCTGACCGTTGTATCGATCGATACTAAAACCTGGTGATGGATTCGTTAAACGGTATTCTAATTTAGCATTGTCACCTTCATCGAGATCGGTAGCATTCAATGAAAGGAAAGTCAAACCGGAGAGATTAGAAATGAGGAAGACGGTTTGATTATGTTCGCATTTCGGTGCATTATCATTGACATCTCGAATGAGAATGATGATGTCAGTCGATGCATCGTTTTGATTATGAGCGATTAAACGAAGAAGATAGATATTTTGTTCTTCTCGATCGAATTTCTTCATTGGTTTTAATAATAAATTCGTTTCATCGAAATCGAATAATCCATCTGGTTTAATCCAGTTTTGTAAATATATTGAATACGTGATTGAATCGCCATCGTCATCATAAGCTTCTGGCAAAAGATAACTCTTCTTCGACCAGTTTTCATCATTCTCATCGATTTCGATTACTGTTCGATTAACATGAAATTGGATGAAATTATCATTGATATTCAATATTCGAATTGGAAGAATATAAACATCAATCGTATTCTCATTGGACACAGCTATACTTACAGAAATTGTACAGATTTTCTTCTTTAAACAAAGATATTCATAATCGAGACGACGTTTTGTTATCAGCGCATGTTGTTTGTGATCAATCGAGAATAGATCCAAATCATTCGATGAAGGTGTCACAAGATCGTATTCGATCGACTGATCTAAATTAGGAATCTTGTCAGTGAGGGAAGTAACCACAGAGCCAAGAGGTAATTCTTCTTGAATGGATATTTCGTGAAGTAAATTCATAGATTTGGATAACCGAAACAAGAAAATGAAAAGTAGAAGTCGAGACATGTTTGTATCTGAAACAGAGAAAAGCATTTCCTTGATGTAAATTTTCTCAATTGGATGAGAAAGACAAAATATGACTATAGACACGTGTTTGTCAACGATTGTCACTTCATCGTCTTATCCTGTCTATGTCTCATCTTCACACATGAATATTCATTTATATTTTCATTTCGGATTTTAACAGCTTTTCTTCATGAACATGCATACCTTTGCATACTAACAATTCTTCGTCCTGCTGCTGCTGCTAACTCATCAACAAATGTTGTCTATCATCATAAAATATGTTCATCATCTTCCATGTAAATCTTATCTCTCAACACGATATATGGTTGTATATGGAAGGGAAGAGAAAAGAAATAGTAAAAACATGTCGGAATTCTCTCTCCGAGCACTTCCATCACATGTCAGATACGTTTCTTCCGTACCAGATCTCATCTCAATCGATTCATTCAATGCTTCATTCACCGTCCGTTCATTAGCATTATATTCTTCGTATTATTATGATTTCCAAATCCAAGCAATCGATTCTCAAACGCCTTCGCTGAGCAGTTCAATNATAAAAGAAAAGAGTGTTGGCGTTGGTAGTTTCGATATCACTTTTGTATTCGTTTTAAACAATTATTTATATTTGTTCATTTAATTGGCCGTGCGAAGTGCTCGGCGAACTCCGAGATAACCATATACGCACAGAATACCAAGAAGAAGTGCATGACTGAAAAACATGTGTAGATCTCCAGCACCGCTCAAGTTATTTGCTGATCTGATGGCATCTCGCCATTGTTCTACGAGTTTAGAAAAGAAAAATAACAAGTTTGATCGAAAGGAATTCTCCGAGAATAACGTCATTCTTACTTGTATAAACCGCCAATGCAATGGTGGTGGCAAAGAGACCCCAGATAGCAGCAATGATTAAGCAGCAAGCACATGCTGCAAGACCACCGACCGGACCGAGCGCGGCGCCTATAGGATTGACCATTCTTGATTGTTTAACTTACACACACACTCGTGTATCTGTAAGAAAAGAAAAAACGAAAGAATATATTTACAAACAAAATTTGTTTGAACAATATTATCTAGTGAAGAGAAAAAAAAAGATCAGATTTGTTTATTTTTCCCTGTTTTCGCATACGTAGTTCTCTCTTTAACAGGTAAACGAAGATCGACTAGAGGTACGGGAGAGAAGGGAGAGAGAGAGAGAAAAGGAGACCATGTACAAATAAATAAGTTTGTTTTCATGCTATCTACTAACTTACCAATATGAAGGAGAAAAAAAGCGTCGTATTCTCTATGAATATATTCAACTAGACGTGGGTGACGGTACAGGTTTCTCTCTCTCTCTCTATCATTTGCGTTTTTTTTTCTTGTCAGGCATATCGATCGACTCAAGGTAATTTCGCACAGGAAGCATCACATCAGTGTATGCTTTTGAATCAATGACAAAAAAGAAATGAGAGAAAGGATGAAGCAGTTTTTTTCGTCGATATGCGCAATCAACCATGAACATCCATAACTAACAACCTCAAAAAGAAAAAAACGGCAGAAACGACGAAAAAGAAAAAAAAACATTAGATTTTCACAGACATACTCATACAAAAGACATGAATATGGTGCGGAAACCATGCATGACAAAATGATATGAATAACCATGATCATGATGACGAATAGGAAAGAAGAAGAAGAAGAGAAATTAATAAAACTCCAAGAATGTAAATAATTATAAGCAGGAAAAAGGCAAACTTTGAAATCATGAATTCTGATATGAATTTAAAACAATTTAATTTGTTTCATTATGATTTCAAGGTCATCGGTCTGATGTGTATATGACATATGCATTTAGTCATCTTAATTATACGGAAAATTTCAATCATACGATGAATGACGTCGATATGAGCTTTGGTTGTTTTTTTTTTATTTGAAATAGTTTGTGTGAAACAAAAAATAGATAAATAAAACGGAAAAGAAACATTGAACATCGGCACGTTAATCAAGGCTTTTTCTTTAAAATAAAGATCTTTTTACTGTTGTGTCGTCGTTATCATCGTCGTCGTCGTTGTCATTTTTATTTTACTGTTATGAAGAAAAAAAAGTTCAATCGCGCGCGCGTATGTTTCATGCGAGAAAAAAATAGAAAATATTCGTTGTGTTGCGAAAATAGGGAAAAAAATATGAACAAAAAAAAATAAAAACCATTTATTGTGTTTGTGCGCATATATGTATGTGTTTTAAAGAAATAACACCATAGAGCAAAATAAAGATCAAGTCGTCAGTTAGGTTGTCTATGAGCGACGCATGAACGTGAATAAGAACGAACATACGAGGAGTAACATAAGAAGCATTTGTGGAGCAAGAAGTTCTTCAGCACCGCTGCCGGTACGGTTCTTGTAGGCGCGATACCATCGACCTTGAATGAAAATGAAGAGATTGTGAGTTAGTTAACAAAACATTGAGGAAAACCATATGAAAAGTACTTACTCATAAAGACAGTCAATGGAATTGCCGTAATGAAAAGACCCCAAACTCCGATTGTATTTAGACAGCATAAGCAACCAGTTAGACCACCGATAGGACCAAGAATAGCGGCAAGAAGTCCAGCACCGCCGGGTGCACGTCCGGCTGGTACTACTGGTCGGACGGCTGGTCGAGCGACATAACGACCAGATGGTCGAGCATAAGCTGATCGGTAAACACCTCGTGAAGCTGAAACATTAGGCACATATCCTAAAAAAATCAAAGCAAAAGAAATATTTCATTGTCGACGGATGAGAACCGATGGTGTACGCACGTGCTCGTGAACCCGAAAATCCGCCTGTTCGTTGAAACATAGCTGTAGATCAGCAGGCGGTACCACTTATTTTTTCTGAAAAAATGACAAGAATTTCGCTCAACAACAATGTAAAATAGAAGAGCTCAGCAATTATAATGATCGTCAACAACAAACAACAACTGGACTCCAGAAGCAAGAAAGAAAGAAAGAGAATAGAAGAAAAAGAGAGAAATGCAAAAGAAAACCTTTCTTTTCTACCTTGATGTGCTTCAATGAGGATGTGTTAATTTTGTTGCTGTCTCTTCGTCTCTCTATCGTCCTCTATGCTTCTCTTTCTGTCTCTCTCATTTTCTCTCTATCTTTCTCGCCTTCTCTTTGGCTGTCCGATCGACAGTCAGGAAAGGTTCTGCCGAATACGTGTGTGTGTCGTATGGCCAACTTGAGAAAAAAGTGCTTCAAAAAGAGGCAAAGAAAAATAGAGACAACGAATTATACAATGCATGAAAAGGCGAGAAGAGGACGCGTCACACGTCAGCAAGCAGCATGATGACGATGATATTTGCTGACTAGCAACGATACACTCATAAATAAAACCATGACTTCGCCATTTTCGATGTCAGGAATAGCGAGACAACATGTATCGACATGTGTGAGAACGTGCAATCGATGCGTGTATAACGACGTCTCTACTTCTATGAAATAAATCAGTACAAGGTTAGGAAAAAAAAGAATCCAAAAGAGATGCATTGAGAAAAAAAGAAAGAAAGAGTGGATGACGCGCAGAAGCGTGGGCATGTACAATATTTCTTTGACGCTTCAGTGCATTTTTATTACAGAAATGTTTATGTAGTGAAACTACGTGTATCGATATGTATCGACGAAAACGGAATCAGAATCTACATGTTTCTCTATGAAATAAACTAGTCTATATCGAAAAACTTTGCAATAATATGACAAAATGCTTTTATTTAAGGGAAAAAGAAAGAAAATAAAGACATATGTATGAATGTATCATCAAGAGTTAACTTTTGACACGATTGTTTGTTTGAGGTTTTTTGGCTGCTTGCACCGGTTTACGAACACTGCTTTTGACAGTGTTAGCACGAACTGTACCATTTGCTTGAGCCGTTCGGCGAGTTGAAGTTGATGCTCGGCGTGTTGTTGATGAACGACGTTTTGTTGAACGTACAGTTTGACGTCTACGTTGTTTGACAGTTTGTTGATTTCGAAGAGGGAAGTTATTGTTGTAGAACATTGCATCACTACCAGGAAAGACTACGCCAGGATAGTTATTAGTACCGACACCTATAAAAATCGATCGAATGATTGTAAAACTTAGCCTATATCATACAGTTTCCACTAAGTCCATTACCGTTACCGTTCACAGTGTTCACACTGTTGACACCATTTGTATTTCCACCTGCATTGGTATTGCCATTACCGTTACTGTTAGGATTGCCATTTGTATTTGGGTTTCCATTTGTGTTTGTATTAGGTACCGTGTTAATGTTTGTGTTGGGAACAACGTTTCCATTGGTATTTGTGTTTACGGGAGCATTAGTGTTGGGATTTCCGTTGGGATTACCGTTACCGTTTAGATTTCCATTGGTATAGATGTTACCATTTGTGTTTCCATTGGTAAATGTATTGCCGTTTGTATTTGTGTTAGGGATACCATTTCCATTGGTAAATGTATTGCCGTTTGTATTTGTGTTTCCATTGGTATAGATGTTACCATTTGTGTTTCCATTGGTAAATGTATTGCCGTTTGTATTTGTGTTAGGGATACGATTTCCATTGGTAAATGTATTGCCGTTTGTATTTGTGTTAGGGATACCATTTCCATTGGTAAATGTATTGCCGTTTGTATTTGTGTTTCCATTGGTATAGATGTTGCCATTTGTGTTTCCATTGGTAAATGTATTGCCGTTTGTATTTGTGTTAGGGATACCATTTCCATTGGTATTAGTAAAAGTGTTTGTGTTCGAGTTGGGAATGCCGTTTCCATTGGCATTAGTATTCGTATTGACGGGTGTGTTAGGAATACCGTTGGTGTTTGTGTTTGGGTAGATGTTACCGTTTCCATTGGTATAGACTAGAAACAATTGTAGCGAATGTTTATTTCAGTAATGAAAATTTTACTATGCAGGTGTAGATATTCTAATGAGAAATTAATGATCTTTTACGTCGTACTTACTTCCATTGTTTACGTTATTTGTCGGGAGAGATCCTACATGAACAGTTGAGATTTTTGTTCAATCAAGATAACTAAAGCGTATTTACCAGTATTTTGATTATTAATTGGTACAGCATCTTACAAGACGAAAAAAGAATCGATACAGATGATACAAATAAATCGTAGCATAGTTTATCTTACTTGTTGGATTGATATTTATGATACCAGTATAGTAATCATCTGTCACTATCGATATATAGGTCATTCAATACTATTTCAAGTTTTACAGAAATCGATTACCTTCTGGATTATCTGAATTTGATGGACCAAGATTGTCTAGTGTATTCGAAAAATCATATTTTGAACGAATGATCAATTAAAAGTGTCTAGTTGACATACCTATGAAATGAAATCAAGATAAAATTTGATTGATAGATAAATTTCCATTCGCTTACCGTCTGTAAATGCAAAAGGATCTGTTGTTGAACTTTCAGGAATAGCAGCTAGCCAAAAGTAACAGAGAATGATCTTTACGATAGAACTTCCTAATACAAGACTTGTAGTAACTTACGAGTTGTTGTTGGAGGTACATCTTTAGAAAAGATCAAACATTTACATATCTCAGTATCACAAGTAAAAGTGAATCATACTTGTAATATTGGCTGTCGTAGTATGAAACACCGCACAGCATGGATAGCAAGCAAAGATGGACAGAGCTTCAGCTACTCGTGTAGCCATGGAATCATAAACAGCGCACATAGCTGATGCCGATGGTGGCATACAACGTGGGCATATTTGTCGTAAACACGAGACCATTTCTTGATTACAAACTTCTCGTGTAAACATGCATGAACTAAAGCACATGCGATGGAGACATGTACATTCTTGATATTGCTGAGAGTAGCATCGAAGTGCAGCGAACGAACGTCCGTGTCTTTCCCAAAACGGACAGGATCCGCTAGTACACGAACTGTTTCCACGAACAGTACGTAAGTAAGCATAAGCCGACTTTGGTGTTGATGTTTTAGTCGGACGACGACGTGTCGTTGCTGAAGTGGCCAGAGCAATAACGAAACATAGTAAAACTATTAAACTCAAGCGCATATTTGCACAAAGATTCCTGCGTATAGCTCGATTAAAGGAGATAGAAAGTGATCAAATCCAAAATGTCGTTTTACTTACATTTATAGACGTCGTTTATATGTTGATAAGTCGGAGCTCTTCTCTCTCTCTCTCTCTTTGTCTTTTTTCCTCTATATCTTATTAGGATTAAATGTGTGTACGTGAAAGAATGTGGCTTTGAATATGTAATAACGACATAATGACAAACATTTGACAAAAAAACTCGCAACGAAATCATTACCTTGACTTCAAGTAACAAATCTCGAATGGGTATGATCGAAGTCTATTCTACACGTCTAGAACTCTTCATTAAACAAGTCAAGATGTTTTATTTCCGTTAACCTTGGAGTTTTGAAAAGTTTTCGTCTTCAGACGTGTTCATTCTTTGAAGTAAAAGAAGAAAATACGTGTTCTAACAGCAGATTTCGAATGAAAGGTCGTTGTCTAGTATATTTTATTGTCATTCATAGTCTTAATGATCAACGAAAAAGAAAGACATATCAAAATGAAAAACGAACTCGAATGACAAGAGTTAAGCCGAATAATCGATATTCAATAACAATAACAAGACTATCCTTGCACATATGAAAAAAAAAATGATCAAAAGGCCGTCTTCAGATCAGCCTTTTTTGTACAAAAAAACGAGATGATTGATAGGGCACAGTTTATTTATAACAGTTTTCAAATGAATCGCCACTGTTGACCGAGATCGTCATAATCACGTCTGGCTAATGTTAAATGTGTGACATCCTGGTCAGTTACTTGTAAAAACATATAATCCATCTGACCCATTGGTCTGCTTACTGTTTTGATTCGGAAATAATCTTTTTCACGCGTTGGAATAATATCCCAAAGTTGCGAACTATCATTGCTGAAGTCTTGTGTTCCAACAGTTAACGATCTGTCGCTAGTTATCACACTCAAGACTTTTCCACTTGGTTGACTGATTAATTTGAAATAATTGTGATCGACTTCTTCAATATTCAAAGCTATCTGAAACATTTCATGTAAACGATTCACTGCGCTGTAACGACGAGTTGGATGGAATTTTAATTGTTTATCTAGAAGATTTCGAAATAATAAATGACATGACAAAGAGAAGGAAACATACGTATGACGGCGTCATGGCATGCTTTGGAACATTCTTCTTTTGTTTGAAATCGATTGTGATTTCCCAATAAACCACCATAAACAAATTTCGTACAGGTCTTGTTACGAGCGTTCCAAGTGTATAATTCAAAGAAAGCACGACCTGGACCAGGATCAGCTCGTTCAAAACAGTCAAAGTCGTCGATATCTAGACATTAATACCCCATTCATTTGTGGCATTACTTGTTCAAATCAACACTTACTCGAATATACACTGGTTAACCCGAGGAGTGCAATAAACACAATAAATGACGTAGACACCATCTTCCTGTTTTCGGCGGCTGTTACCAGTTAAAACGAGCCCTTTCGTGTTCGCCAGCTCTATTTATCCCTTGAATTCCCCTGATGAGAATATTCAACATTCGTTTTCAGCCTCTTTTCGATTGTTATCTTTCTTTTAATCGATATTATGGATTCAGATAGATAGCATTCATCTAGGTATTGATCAAAGGTTCTGTAAATATTCGTCACCTTTGAAACTGCGACTGTGGGTGTCAGTGCAAAGTTTTACTGCATGACAGAATATTCGAAGGCCACCGTCTTCTAGATATTTCGAAGTGCACTGATCTTCGAAAATGTAGATAAATCTTGAGGGTGGGTGACTATTGTCGAGAACTGATGGCAACACACACACACACACTGTCAAAAATTGTACAATCAAAAAAAGCGTTTTCCTCGATTATTCTATTCGAATAAACTGACATAAGATATGTACATGCATCATTATGAACGTGTTTCGTTCTGCTTCGTTCCTTTTTATTGATAATTACAAGTTATAAGTTTTTCAGACGAAACCTTTGAAATGTGTCGAGGAAAATTTTTATTTGGTTTGAAGCCACTTTTATAAATACTTATGATACTTCAGCAATTCTAAATATTTAAGAAATGATGAAGGCGTGGTTATTTCTCTTCTAGTGACACTCGTACTAAAACATATGGTTTTTTTATGAGTTTCTTTATTCTAAATATAAAACTTCTTATAGTAAGTGTTGAAAAAGCTGTTGAAACTCTTCATAGTGATCCTTGACTCAGGACAATGGTTCCGGATCCAGCCCGTATTTGTTGACGTGGGGATTGCTCCTAATGCTTAATCTTTCGTTAAGGTATTGACGATATACAGATGCAAAGTATGAGTAAATTTCTGCTGCTGCGTTGAACAACTAACCGGTCTAGAATAGGAAATAAAATGATAATGGTGCGTATTGAGTAATAATAAGCAAGAATAAAGCAACAATCGAAAAGGAAGAGTAAAATGTGAGAAGATTGATATCCTCGAGTATAGAGCACTTATAAAATTCTATGCCTACTTTGTTCTGTTCCTCGGCCATAGAAGTGTCTCGGTCCTGCTTTTCTGCAATCAAATTTTTTTTCTCAATGGTAATCGTATCAGATTTTTCTATACAAAAAGACATTTCCATATAGATCGATGTTAGCTCGATTTTACCAGTATCGATAGGAGACTGTCCATTTGATTCTCCAATAGCACGAGGATCACTGTCAGATGCAGCCACAGTTACACCTGATCGTTTTGCATTCATTGATACAACACCAGTCCGTCGGTGAATTTCTAGGACATATCTTTATAAAAAGAAATTTGTAGCGTCGAAATACAAGACTATTCAAATAACTCACTTTTCTACAAGATTTAAACAGTATTCTATCTCGTTCACGAGGAGCAAATAAACAATTATCACGAATAGCGTTCGCAGCACTTGGTCGACATAAACGTGTTGATACTATGTCATTACTTCATTGATCTGCCTGAGAATCAGATATTTCAACAGCGGCTAAGGCATCACCTGAACACCAACAGCAAGAAAAACTTCATAGAGTTTTAACGATTTTCGTGACCTAGCGGCGATTAGTAAAACGTTTTTTGTTGCAATTGTTCTTATCAATGAATTGGAACTAGCTCAAATGACAAAAAATCGTGCAAACATCAAAAGAAAATCGAACATGTTCAACGATTCAAAAAGATTCGCAGTATAATTTGCTTTCTTTTTCTTTAAATAACATTTGGTTTCGGTAAATGCATAAACACTGAAACAGCTGGATCGATTTAGTCGTTTTTGTAAAAACTCCACAACATGTCATTTGAGCTCCTTCGTGTTAAATTTGCAAGCGCAGAATAATCTTTCACTTGAAGAACAAAGAGACTCCTCGTGAGAAGATTTGTACATTTTCTTCACTGATTATAACTCTTGATGTATAGAAGTGATGAATATTACAAACTACAATTCCTATTTGCTGCCTTTGAATTAAAACATCAATGATAATTGCAGGTTTATTTTCTAACGATGAATACTTAACAACTTGTAGTTGTTATTATTATTGAAAACCAACTAAATGTAATTGGCTAAGTATTTAACCAATTAGATTATTTTGACAGAACTTTAACGAATAAATCAAATTTCTCTCATTAAAATCCAAATCTTTCTTTTTTCTTCATAAAATAATGCAAATTCCGAAAATTCTTTCTGTTTATTATTATCAACTCGTGGCGCTACATTCTAAGCTAGTAAACTAGCGCTAGCACGACTACAGCGTGGTGTACCAAATATGTCCATCTGTTTTTTCGCTTCATCAAAAAAATCGATCGAGGAATTGTCGCAACACAGATAGTTATATTTTGTTCTTTTATTTTAGAATTCAAATGCCAGAACCAACACCAGAGGAATATGTTCGCGGACTAAATAAATGGTCCGATATTGGCTATACAACTCTAGATACACTTTATTTACGGCCTGTACGATGGTTTCACCGTAATTTTGTCGAACGTTTCCGTGGACCAGCTTATCCATATTATCATCGTAAATTTAGTCCAGTGAAAACAATCGATGAGTGTGAGATCGAAGATCAAGTTTGTTTTTACGAAGCAGAAATGGCGTTTTTACGTGACCGACGTATTGATACAATGATTATCGAAATTCTTCAAGATCGTTTATCACGTTGTGTTGTCCACGAAGGCCGAATCGATGCTCTAGATAAATGTGCCAAAGAAAAAGATGATCTATTCGAATCGCATGCAAATTGGTATCAAAAATATGGTGAAATGGGTGCTCCACATAGTTGTATCGACGCTTATATGAAACAAAAGCATCATATGATTTGGATGCGTCGTCACCCTGAAGTTGATCTAAAAGGATGGGCTGTTGAACGTGAAAGTGAACGTAAAACAAAAGATTACATCAAGAGCATTCCCATGCCAATGGAGTTTCGATAAATCTATAACCAAGAAAAAGAAACATTTTCTCTATTATCTCCTTTCCGTTTGTTTTCTCTTGCCCTTGTTAGACTATCTCTTACGACTTGTATTTTCCTTCCTTCTAAGTTTCTTTTGTATAAAAAGATCATCACCATTGATCAGTATAAAAAAAAACAATTAGTTTCTTTTTCTGTCTCTTATTTGATTTCTAGAATGAAACCAATTCAGACATCAGAATCAACACTTGATCGCTTTGATTTATTTACAATTGTCTTTGATATCTGTATTTCGATTGTCGGCGGTTTGATTGTCAATCGTCTAGTTCCAATCTTGAAAGAAAAATTTATTCGAGCACAACTATGGGGATACGATTTAAATAAAAGAACTTCACGAGAAATTCAAATGTAAGTTAACCCTAAAAGTAATAGATGGAAATTACAAATCTGCTTGAAATTATTCTAGCGCCGAATCGCAAGGTGTTATAGCTGCTGGAATGTTTCTCGTACTCATGTTTATCATGATTGCTATCGTCTTTTCCGAGCATTTCCATCCTCACAGCGATTTCCCGCATAACAAAGTAAAACGGACGATCGACATTAGTTCATATTGAATTGATTCTTTTCGAAGTTTGTCGAATATCTAGCTGCACTACTTTCCATTTGCTGTATGGTCTTACTGGGTTTCGCAGACGATGTGTTGGATTTACGTTGGAGCGTCAAATTATTACTACCATTAATTGCATCATTGCCGCTCTTATTGGTTTACTTTGCTAATTACCATTCAACAACGATTATTTTGCCTAAACCAGTTCGGCCATACATCGGTCATCAATGGAATCTCGGTTAGCACATTTTGTAGAACACATGAGAACCATTTCATTTGCAATTACGATTGATCTATATAGGAATTTTCTATTATATTTACATGAGTATGGTGGCAGTGTTTTGTACAAATGCGATTAATATTCTAGCTGGTGTGAATGGATTAGAAGTTGGTCAATCAATTGTGATTGCAGTATCAATACTAATATTTAATCTTATTGAATTGCAAGGTTTGAAATAAAAACGTTCTTCTCATTTGCAGTTCAATCATATCTTTTAGGTTCTTGTTTCGAAGAACATCTCTTTTCTCTGTACTTCATGATTCCATTTATTGCATGTACTTTTCCCATCTTATTGAGAAATTGGTATAGATACTTAGCAGATGTTCTTTTTCATAATTGATTTTGGTTTATGTAGGTGTCCAGCAGAAATCTTTGTCGGTGATACGCTTTGTTATTTTGCTGGAATGACATTTGCAGTCGTTGGAATTATTGGTCATTTTAGTAAAACAATGTTATTATTCTTTATACCGCAAATTGTTAATTTTCTTCTGTCAATCCCGCAATTATTTCGTTTTATTCCATGTCCAAGGCATCGTCTTCCAAGGTGAGATAGTTTCTTTTCGAAAACCTAACTAACTACTATGGTTAGATTGAATCCCGAGTTAAATAAACTGAACCCATCAGAAATCGAATTTAAAAAGAAAGATTTGACCATCGTCGGATGGTTAATGTTACGTTTCTTTTCAGCAACAAAATTTATCAAATATCGTGAGTATAAAAAACATGATAATCAAATGATGATATCTACAACGAATTTTACCATTATTAACACTGTGCTCTGTTGGTGTGGACCATTGCATGAAGAAACCTTAACACAAATCCTGATACTCATACAAGTAGGAACACATATTCATAACGAAATACTTTCAGACGGATATTTCTTTGTTCCAGATTGTCTTTGGCACTTTGCTGACGTTTTTCATACGCTATTATTTAGTTCAATTTTTCTATGACACATGACTTTTGTATTTTCGTATAATTATAACATGTTTTTTGAGAATAAAATACCGGTGCTTGAAATCAATTTACTAAAAAGAAATCATATCCATTTTCAGTGCTCTTTACAAAATCAATCTGGTCCCATCTGATTAGGTAGGTAATTAGCTACTAATCGTGTTTCTCCACAGATATTATACGATACCCGCCGTGTGAGGCGTGGCACTAGGTGACCTCTTTCGAAATTATTTCAATCTATACATTATCGATAGACTAGACTACTGATTCTTTGTATTCCGAATATATATTGACCCATACATAACCAGAGGCTTTCTTCTTTTGCGCCATTTCTCTTCGATATATAATCGACGGACTATACTGATTATTCGGATGTGCACTCCTTGCTTCGACCTAATTTATCGTGCGGAATCCTAATAGATCTTGTATTTTAGGTGCAGTCTGTTCATTCTTTCAGTATAAAAACGTGTTTCTGCAATGGACGATCAATTGAAGACAACATCGACGTCACCCGATTCAAGTACGATGTTGTTACAAACCGTGCAATATCTTCAAGATTCGAACTATTCATTTCTGTTTAGTTTTTTCCGAGTTTTCTTCTCATGATTCAGGTATCAACACTGCAACTGCGCCTCCGATGTCGACTATGTCCGTGCTTTCACCTCTTCGTTCGTCAATTACATTAGCTAATATGAGCAATGTTGCAAATTCATTAGATGATCATCACTTTTTCCGCGAGAACTATAGTTCACGGCGAACAGCTGATGTAAGCTGGTGGTGAGTATACATAGGCATTGTAAATCTCTGAATTCACTTTGATCCGATTTGCAGGCAATCAGACGTCGAAAGTTTGAATTTTCAACTCAACGAACAATTATCGCCACCACCTAGCTATTTAATTACTGACTTTCGGTGAGTTTCATCGATACTAAGACTCGTAATTCACCTCAAGCATAACTCTCTCATTGTAATCGTGTCCTTTCAGTACCAATCAAAATGTTGCTTCATCGTCCATAACTGATGTTCTCGTCTCGCCCATGTCACACATGTCGACATCGTCATCAACAATGTCATTTAGCAGTATCGGCAATCAACCACCGACAAATCAACGATCAGTAAGTGTCTGTAAAATCAATTCTATAGCCACTGATTCATAACACACTAAAGCTTCTTGACATGTGCGAAAGATGCTAAATATTGCTTTATCTGATAATTTCAGTTCCGACCAACCATGAAGAATTCAACTAGCTCAGTAACTGTACCGACTAAGAATATTCATTCTATGTCATCTGCACAGTATTTGTTACCATTACCGACACCGTTATCTAGCCGACAAACACTTGCTTCAGTCGACAATATTCCTTCCATTCTCACCGACAACGATCTACAACGAGTGCCACCTTCATTCAGGCCTATTTCTTCTTCTGCGACCTTTGGTAACTCTCACCCACATCTTCTCCTCTAATCTCTCTCATTCTCCATCATTCATTCTAGGCAATGGCCCTCTTCTTCAGTCTCAACCACAGCCTCAAGTCATTCATACTGCCAACCGATCCAATCCCATGCCATCATGGCGAGGCTACTTGCCCATGAGATTTGAGCCCATGACCATGGATCAGTATCAGATCAATACTCACTTCTCACAGAAAGTCTTCCTCGGTGGTATTCCACCTGAGCTCACCGAAGGTTCGCCAGCATTCGCATCATTTCTCCCATCATCTCTCTACTTTTTCGTTTCAGCTGAATTGCTGTTGGTGTTGCGAAAGTTCGGCAAGTGCAACATCAAGTGGCCCAAAAACGACGGACTCAGTCACAACATGCCAGGTACTCCACTCCCGTTCTCACTTTACCACACCTTCCCAATCACACTCTCCACACAGGTTTTTGTCATGTTGTGTTTCGCGAGTCGCGATCAGTGTGCGAGCTTCTCAAGCACTGCACCCGACAACAACGATCGACCGTCGACTACTTTCTTCATATTCACATGTCGCTAACGTCATCAACACTCACAACAACAACGACAACAACAGCAGCCGGAGGTCAATCTTCATCATCGTCGGGCGTTTCACTTCGACCCAATCGACTCAAACCAGTATGTATCACCCTCTTCTGCACCATCACCACTCTCACCCTCACTGTCACTAGATTCAAGTTGTGCCGTGGAACATGAAAGACAACGTGTTTGTCGTTCAACAAGAGAACATTGCCGCCCTCGATCCATCCTACAAGGATTGGTCACGAACAATCTTTGTGTCACCACTACATGGCAAGATGACTGCATTCAGTTTGGCGACGATCATGGCCAATGTGTTTGGCTCGGTGTCCATGGCTCAGATCAACACGGACAAGTATGGATATCCGACGGGTGAGTGAGCTAGGGTGGTATGAATGTGAGGGCGAGAGTATGTGTGTTGTAGGTACTGGAACGGTGTTGTTCTGCGATTCGCATAGTTACATGCGAGCAGTGGCTGCAGGTGCGATCGACATCAAGTGTGACTGTTTTCATAAGTTGGTGAGTTGATTAGATGTGAGGATGAGAGTAGTGGAGGTGAGATTCGATGTGTTTAGCTTGATATTGATCCATTCTTGCGTGAAAACGAACCGTGTGCATTTTGTCCATCGGTTGCTGACTTGTTCTGTCGAAACTTTCATTGTCTTCGATCGTACTGCAAACAATGCTGGATTAATCGTCATGGATCAAAACCATTGGCTGACCATCAACCTGCTACTCGACGACAACAACCATTACCGCAAATTTAAACTATGGAATTTATCTAAATCAATGAAGAGCAACCTTTTTTTCTATGTACTTTATTTTTTATTCACTTTTGTAAACATTTCTTTCCTTTCGTGTTGAAAAAAGGGTGCTCATGTCTTCGTTTTATATGTGTTTAAAAACTCGATGTGAAAGTTGGTTATTGTGCTTTTTTATTTGTGTCAATGTGTGGCGTGTACATAAACTGTTTCTGTCGATAAAAACTACTATGAAGTTTTTACATCGATTGGATATCGTTTATCGTTGTTCATTTGTTTTTCTAGTCACTATTTCTCATTTGAACTAATAGTAAATCTATTTTCACTGATCTTGTAAATATTTGTAGAATAGTCATTTCGCAAATGAAGATTTTTGTCTTGTTTTTTTTTGTTTTTGAACCTGCCTACGTGTTAATATTGTCGTCATGTTTTTCCATTGTTTTTCTTTGCGAAGAAAATAAACAATTGCTTGGTCATCTAAATAGGACATGATTTGTTGATGGGAAGATGCAACGGTCTTAATAACGACATATTCCAGGGTTCGAAAATAAATCGTTTTTTATTTTCTGCTAATTTAAATATTTTCAGCTATGCGAGCTGCTTCTGTTTCTGTTTTTCTTTTCGCGTTTCCCGTCATATAGCATTCGAAGAAGGAGAGAGAGAAACGTTAAACGTTCATCACATTGTACACGTGCTCGTAATAGAAACAAGAGAGAGCGAAAGAGAGATTCATGTTGAAAGCGAACGATTTCATACATTGTTTTTATCGCGGCTCGAACGGAAAAGAACACCATCAAATAAACACGATAATCAAGATGTTCGTCGTTTCAGATATTTTTGTAATAACTAAATTTCTATTCAATGGATAAACATTTTCTAAAAACCTCTTCATCATCCGATCTAGGTGAGTTTTCAAATTCTTGATTATTATTCGAATTGCTTTTCTACGAAGGTTCATCGGATAATGAAAGTAATCTTCAGTCAACATCTCACTTATCATTGTTTCCATCTTTACATTCAACTATAGTTTCGAATGAAACATACAACGACATAGATGAAGAAATCGAAAATCAAAATTTTCTTTATGATAACTCTACTTTTTCACGATCATCAACAATGATTCGATGGTATGTTCAAAACAATTAATGTCACACCATTTTTGAACTTGACTGAGATCTGTTTAAGTTTATGAAATTGTTTGATCGAATGTATTTTAGGCAATCAGAAATGGAAAACTTCAATTTTCGTTCGAGTTTTTCTCAACAACAGCAACTTTCCTCTGGGGAATCCTATTTTAGTAAAGATGTTTTGTAAGTAGGATGTTGATCATCATTCTGAATTTCTCGTCATTTTCCTTCACTTTAAATAGAGATAGGAAAAATGTACCCACATCATCATTAACAAATGTTTTAATTTCACCGATGTCTCGCTTATCAGCATCATCGTCTATGATGTCATTCAACAGCATCCCTAATCACAAAACTTTTGAGCAACAAACGGTAAGTTATATGATTATCAAAAAACCCACGGATTTAGCATCGATCTGTGCTCTCTCATTTGTTTTCATCGACGAAATCATTATTCGCTTATTAAGGTGTAATTTGACAATTTAGACTCGATCAACACTAACCAGTTCAACGGATCAATTGATTACATCCAGTGAGAACATCGATCGTTTTACTACTCCACAATCATCTCTGCCATTATCAACACCGTTATCTAGCCGACAAACACTCGCTTCAGTCGACAATATTCCTTCCATTCTCACCGACAACGATCTACAACGAGTGCCACCTTCATTCAGGCCTATTTCTTCTTCTGCGACCTTTGGTAACTCTCACCCACATCTTCTCCTCTAATCTCTCTCATTCTCCATCATTCATTCTAGGCAATGGCCCTCTTCTTCAGTCTCAACCACAGCCTCAAGTCATTCATACTGCCAACCGATCCAATCCCATGCCATCATGGCGAGGCTACTTGCCCATGAGATTTGAGCCCATGACCATGGATCAGTATCAGATCAATACTCACTTCTCACAGAAAGTCTTCCTCGGTGGTATTCCACCTGAGCTCACCGAAGGTTCGCCAGCATTCGCATCATTTCTCCCATCATCTCTCTACTTTTTCGTTTCAGCTGAATTGCTGTTGGTGTTGCGAAAGTTCGGCAAGTGCAACATCAAGTGGCCCAAAAACGACGGACTCAGTCACAACATGCCAGGTACTCCACTCCCGTTCTCACTTTACCACACCTTCCCAATCACACTCTCCACACAGGTTTTTGTCATGTTGTGTTTCGCGAGTCGCGATCAGTGTGCGAGCTTCTCAAGCACTGCACCCGACAACAACGATCGACCGTCGACTACTTTCTTCATATTCACATGTCGCTAACGTCATCAACACTCACAACAACAACGACAACAACAGCAGCCGGAGGTCAATCTTCATCATCGTCGGGCGTTTCACTTCGACCCAATCGACTCAAACCAGTATGTATCACCCTCTTCTGCACCATCACCACTCTCACCCTCACTGTCACTAGATTCAAGTTGTGCCGTGGAACATGAAAGACAACGTGTTTGTCGTTCAACAAGAGAACATTGCCGCCCTCGATCCATCCTACAAGGATTGGTCACGAACAATCTTTGTGTCACCACTACATGGCAAGATGACTGCATTCAGTTTGGCGACGATCATGGCCAATGTGTTTGGCTCGGTGTCCATGGCTCAGATCAACACGGACAAGTATGGATATCCGACGGGTGAGTGAGCTAGGGTGGTATGAATGTGAGGGCGAGAGTATGTGTGTTGTAGGTACTGGAACGGTGTTGTTCTGCGATTCGCATAGTTACATGCGAGCAGTGGCTGCAGGTGCGATCGACATCAAGTGTGACTGTTTTCATAAGTTGGTGAGTTGATTAGATGTGAGGATGAGAGTAGTGGAGGTGAGATTCGATGTGTTTAGCTTGATATTGATCCATTCTTGCGTGAAAACGAACCGTGTGCATTTTGTCCATCGGTTGCTGACTTGTTCTGTCGAAACTTTCATTGTCTTCGATCGTACTGCAAACAATGCTGGATTAATCGTCATGGATCAAAACCATTGGCTGACCATCAACCTGCTACTCGACGACAACAGATATTTTAAACATGTAGTTAACAATGACGTCTGCAATCGCTTCTTTTCCTTGTTCTGCTTTTTTATCTTCCTTTTTACGTGATGTGTTTTTTGTTTTTATCTTGAAAATTAGAGATTGTGCTTTTGTGTATGTGTGTTATACGCTTTCTGGTCTTATGAACTCTCTATCGATTAAGGGCTGCATTCTGCTATGCTTTCAATCGATATTCTTTATGCTTGTTGGTTCTTTTTCTTTTTGAAAGACCGTTCAACATGCTTAGATGGTAGAAAATGACAAACTTTTATGCATGTCATAGACATTCCTATGCAGTTTTTAACATCCGCGAAAAAGACGTATTGATGCGTGTTGAACGGCATTGTCGAACGATTTACTATAATAAACTCGAACTTTTACTAACAATTACGAATAATGATTTATATTTGGATTAGAGTGTTCATTTTATTCTACAACAATAGATTCTCGAATAAAATTATACAGTGTATATTAAGAAAATGTCTGTCAAAACCATGTTGATCCGCTATCTGGAACTTTTAGTTTACGAACTAATGGTGTTTCACTGTATTTTTCATGTGTGTCTTCCACTACGCCATTTGGATCATACTCTTGACGTAGCCGATAGAGTGCATCCACGAAGGTTATAAAGTGCATTGTATCGAGTTTTTTTCCATGGAAGATTTTATGATGTTTCGTGTACGCTCGAATGTATTCATTTCGATAGAATAATTTCACGTGACGTGCATAAACGATCAAAGATGTACCCGTTTGGAATTGATCCGCATAAATTTTGGTTAAATTTTCATGAATATGATTATCATCAAACCATTGTCGAATGTCTTTCGCAGTCCAATCTTTTAATCCGAATAGTTTGCTACTTTCCACTTCAGTTTTCTTCTCTTGAGTAGTTTCAGATGCTGTAAGTGGAACCAACGGAGTCGAAGCAACGACCAACGGTTTTTGTTCCGTATCAAACATTGATGCTAATTCTTTGATCGCATCGGCAAATAATTTTCGTCCAAAGTGAATATATTTCTGACCGGCAATTCGAATACCAAGCCAACCACTAGCACGATACTGTTGGTTAGGTGCATAGACAGGCACGATACGCTTTTTTAATGTGTCGCTTGCATATGAAAGTTCTTGTCGACATGATTTTGAATCGTAATACTCTTTTGAGACAATCAAAACAATGATTGTTGCCAGTTCCATCGCTCGTGCGATCTCTTCCCAGAGATCGTCGGAATGTGCGATCGTATCTTGTGCTTGCTTATAGTCCACCCAAACCGGTACATGTGCCGATAAACGCTCAACAAGTTCGCGACAAAATTCTGAGTCGCTGTGTGAATAACTGATCATTGCAAGTGGCCGTTGACTCGCTGTCTGACTTGGTACATTCGAGATTGGACGTGCAGACGATTTAAGGTTCCATATAATTCCTTCCGCAGCTTTCTTCAATGTACACAAATCACGTGGAATCGATTTCGATCGCGAACCCACGTACAATACTGATGATGTTGCTAAATTTGATATCGTATGCATAAGCGTAGAGTTGGACTGGAATTTTTCATGATAACATTGATGGAACGATATACTCCATAGTAAATTTGTTAATGCTAGCAGAGATTCGTCTTCTATTGGTTGACGATTTCGATTAACATCACCAACAATCATGGCAAAGTGAACGATCAATTGCGATAAACATTGAAATAGTTCTTCATTTTCATTCATACATTTCGTCAATATATCATCATTGACAAACAGTTTGCAAAGTACAATTAACATTTCTGATATGTGAAAACATCGATAGGATAGAGTTTCACGACGTGAAGCTTCGATGGTATGCGAGACAAGTTCATGAAGTGTTTGACACATTCGATTATCAGCACACATGGACATTTGTTTGATTTCATCGGCCTCCATTAGTAGCGCATAGATCATGCAGCGCAAAAAATAAAAACAATTATATTGTATTTCATTGTAGCACTTGCGAAGTTGACTGTCACTATCACAAAGAATTTGACGACAGTTTAATTGATTGAGAGTCTCCACACCAGCTGGATGTCGTGCTAATTTTTGAAGAACCAAATGAATATACTGACAAATGTTAGAACTCGGTCGTATTTCTTCGTTTGTATTTATATCAGCTATCCATTGAATACAAGAATGTGGCCATCGACTTTCGATAATCAATGAAACTAATGTGGGTTTCTTCGAGAAAACTTTCAGTACACCAAAAATGGTTTGAATAACACGCTCCCGTTCTTGACAATGCCAATATTTTTTCGTAAATGTAAGTAGATATGCAAGCATACCTTTTGGAACATCGTTTTCGGCTACCGAGGTCCAAATGCTTGAGTAAGTCACAATGGGTAAGATACAATTGATCAAACCGTCGTATCGACCATCAGATAAAAAGTACGTTTCTTTCAACAAAACAATATAATTTCGGAAGATGACTTCATATTGAGATGGATCTTTGAGTAAGACTAATACTTCCACTAAGCATACTTCATAAAAGGCATTTGCCAAGGTTTCTAAAAATTGCTTGGTTTGAATGAATTCGTTATTTTGTTCGTCATTGTTCGATAATATCGCATCGAAAATAGGAACTACTCGACACAAGTTATTAAGAATTGCAAAAGCAAATGTTTTATTATCTTGTAAACCATGTGGAATAGCACGTTTTAACTGCAAATGTAATTGTTCAACCGCACCATCCCGATTTTCCGATGCTGGATTCGTCGATAATGCCTTTAAACTATTAATAAATTCATCAGCAAGTATTTGACATGAAACAGGGTTCAAATCACCACTCATATTCTCGTTTTTTTTTCTTTATGAGAAACAAACTGGTACAACACGATCGTATATATACATGTATATTGATATGTATTTAGCTGTAATTCTACCTTTTCAAGCGTACTGTCATTAAATAATCATTTGAATGTGCGTTTATCGTCAATATATTTGCACACATGAAACGTCATATAATTTTAATATGACAAATTGCCTTGTCATGCTGACAATAACAGTACACATTACAATTTGAAAACCATTATTATATTGATTTTACAGGTGGCTTATCAATAGATTTTTGATAAATGACCAGTTTAATCGGATGAATAATCTGTCTCGTTTTTCATTCTCTCACTCTCCGTCTCTGTTGAATATTATTGAAAGAATATAGGCATAAATACACTCATGCACGCAAATACACAGACATATATCGAAGAAAAAGAATTTTATCAAATATTCTTGGAACATAATTACGCACGTCGAATTAAATCTTGAGCTTTCTTGTTTGCACCGTCAATTCGAATTTGTCCAACGTCAGTTTTATCTGCAATCCGATCGAGTTGTTTGTTTTGATTTTCGATAGTATCACCCATATCGAGAGCCATGTTTTTCAAATTTCCAAGATAACTGCCAACTAATTGCAAATTATCGTCCATTTCGTCCTCGCGATCGTCATTCGTGATGCGAGTGATATAACCTTTCGAAGGCATACCTTCTTCACCAGCCATGCGTAGTTTTGGCTCAGCTATAGTCGGTGACGAGTTTTCACCACTGATGGTTGTGCTACTATTCGTGAATGGGCGATGTGCATAACGTGTACGCTGCCATGGTAGAACGCATAGACCACAACATTTTTGTAAATTGTTTAAATTCCTCTCTGCATCATCCATGCCAGCATGAATATTGTCGAGACCATTCTATAGAAAGAACAGCAATGTTCATAGTGCGGAAAAGTGATTGTTTACCTCGATTCGCTTGAGTTTTTCGCCCTGGTCATCGAGCATGATCATGGTATTAGTACCGACTTCTTGAGATTCGGCAACTAAACCAAGCATACGGCGTGTTGACTCTAAAGACTCGTTGGTTTTTGCATTAATCTGTGTTCTAATTCCGTCTAACTCATCATTTCCAGTTGCATGATCATTATTTGATGGATTCATGTTTGTATTGTTCTCTTTTCTTTGCCTTGCGATATCTTATGTTGCCACCTTCTGGCTAAAATGAAACAACGCGATGAAAAAGAGATATAACAGATAGGCGAACAAACAAGTAAATGAAAAGACGTAACAGCGGGGCAACATATAAGTGAGATAGGGTGATGATAGCGAACGAAAAAGAGAAGACGAAGAGTAGAAAAGTAAATCTAATGACGTCAGAATCAAATTGTATTAGCTCAATGTTCGTATACAATACAAACTACTTCACAAGCGAGGAAGAAACACATTTCTCATCTATATCAAAATAATATCTAAATCTATATTTTTTACGTTTGAAAGAGAAATAGATAGAATCTATAATTGTGTACGAAAATATTTTAAAATTTCGAACGATCGTTGAGAATTATATAGAATGGTAAAAAGTTTTAACGATTAATCACATGTTGTTTCGATGAAAGATTGAAAAGGACAAAGAAAATTTTTATTTATTTAGGTAGCTTATGCTGACTCTGTTTTCTTTCTAGTGCGGCGATATACGGGATATTGAAACTTTTACAAAGACGAAAAAAATTGGTAAATTTTCTTTATTTCAATAAATTTATTCGAGTAGCGGGACGTGCGGGACATTGAAGAACTTGAGAAAAAAAAGACGATTTTATTTTTCAATCGAAAGAATTTTGATGCGGGACATGGTCATATAGAAACTGTAGAGAGAGAAAAAACAAATAGTTTTACTTTTGTTAAACAAATAATTTTGTTTTCGAACAGCGGGATATTGAAAAATTAGAAAAAAAGACGATTTTATTTTTCAATCGAAAGAGTTTTGATGCGGGACAGTGGGGATAAAAGATAGATTTTTTTCTATTCTATTTTTTCGCGCATTCCAAACTCAACTAGATTCTCATGTCAACTGTGACAGGTGTCTAGGCATTGATTTACAGATGTACAAACATCAATCAACATTGATTTAAGTCAATGAGCGAATCGGAAAGTATCTCAGTCATAAAAGGTATTCACTCTTCACCAGCCATGACGTATACTGTTACAATCAGTTATAC